TTTTTTTTTTTTTTAATTTTTTAATGTGTTTATTTTTGAAAGAGTGAGACAGCATGAGTTGGGGAAGGGCAGAGAGAGAGGGAGACGCAGAGTCTGAAGCAGGCTCCAGGCTCCGAGCTGTCAGCACAGAGCCTGAAGCAGGGCTCCAACCCACAAACCGTGAGATCATGACCTGAGCTGAAGTCGGATGCTCAACTGACTGAGCCACCGAGGTGCCCCTTGAGTCTGGTTTTAATGAGCACACCCTTGGGATTTTTTCTTACTTTAGTGCTCAGCAATTACCACCTAGGGTCAAGGTGAATTGATGAGACTAGTCTCAGATAAGCAAAAGTGCACAGGCAGAGGGGTCTATAAAAATGAATTGTTTATCTTCAGAGAACTCTACCTTAATGTTAAAAATGGCCTTTAAAGAAATGCCCCATTTTAGCAAAAACATATATATGTCATATAACACGTGTATTCTAGGACTGAATAGAAAAAAATCCATTAATTTCTCTAGAAATTAAGGATAAAGTGAATGTATATGAAACTGGATTAGAAAAGATTGTCTAATTTTAGGTAAAGCCATTCTATTCAATAAGTCAGCATTACATTTACTGACGTGCTAATTCGTGGCATCTTCATTTTGGGAGGCACCAATGATCTCACTCAAGGTCTAATATGAAACAAGCATTTAACCATAAAATTGGAAGTGTAAGCCATCCTACAAAAGAATTGGATAAATATAAGGAGTACATATGCAAGCAGCTAAGAATAACTAATTAAATAAGAACTATAACCTCTACATCTCTGGTTGTATCCTCATGACAGCTGTCTTGGGAAATGACTGTCAGAACATAAGGCAGGTGCTAAAAACAAAGCAAAACAGCAAGACTCTCCTCTTAAAAACTCACCCTAACTTACTGTCACAACACCTCTCCCTTAAATGCATGACCACATCCACATACATCTCTCTTGGACCATGTGTTCACTTTTAGAAATCGATTCTGCTTTCCACTTATATCCACTTATGCTATTTTATGCTCTTTCTAGTTTTAAGATATCATTATGGAAAGATATTTGTGATATTTTAGGATGCCAACATTATGACTAGAGCAGTTCCAGTATGGGAGATATAGATGATGATGATAGACAGATAGAGAGATAATAGATGATAGATTAGTAACCTTATTATACAGTAGTAAAGAATATAATGTGTGAATGTGGGTCACACTATAGTCTAGAGGACATCTCCAGTCTTCCATTTGCTTCACTTCTCCAGTGTCTAAGGTGAGGAACCAGCTCCCTTAGGTTTACAATTTTATTTCAAAAGGCTGCAAGACTGACATCAAGTGGATATGTCAGAAATGACAACTAGAGCAAAACCTTTGAATCAGATAAATCTTCTTTGCCTAAAATATAATATGTCTAATAGAGTGATGTTCGAAGAAGGAAGGATGCATGCATGCTTTTGCTCAGTAAACTACTTACTGTTAAATTCAACAGCCACGCTAATTGACAATGTCTTCAATACGTTTTAGGTATTATTCTGCCAGTGGTCATTGCTTTGATTGTGGTGACCCTTTCAGCATTTATTCTTGTGGGTTTGTATCGAATGTGCTGGAAGACCGACCCAGGTAGGTGACAGGGTTTTGTCTCATTTTGTTTCCTGAAAAATGAATATATATTCAGTCTAAACTTGAATTTAAACTCTTGAGGGGAGAGGAGGATTGCTGAAAGAAAATGCCATGTTGCTTGATCACAGAAATAGAAGAGAAGGGACAGAGAAACCCATTTGAACGCTAACGAATGTAAGGAGTGAGGATTTACTAGTGGCAGAGATAATCAAATATGAACAGATTATTTTTAATGAAATAACCCCAGTTTTGTGAGTGGTCAGGGGATTATGGTAGTAAAGAAGGCATAAAATGACATCCCTTATCTGTAGTGAAGATTTTTGTCCACTTCCATGTGACAAAAAATAAAGGTAAGTATTGCTAAGGATTTAGTTGAGGGGCCCACAATCTCTAGAGGAGCGTTCTGTGACTTATTCATGCCTGGGGGAGACATCTTCCTTTCGATGAAGGTGTGTTCCATGACTGTGTGTTCTGCTAATTGACTCATCTCCTCAAGACCGAACACGATGGCAATTTTTCGCCAGACTTAAGTGTGACGGTTCTTTATTATCCTCCTTCATCTCTCCAATAACATTTAAGGTCCTTCCACTTTTCTTTAAAATGGCACTGCTATTCTTAACTGTAGAGAACAAACTGAGGATTGCCGGAAGGGAGGTGAGTGGGTGAGTAGGAGGAGGAATGGCATAGATGGGTGACAGGCATTAAGGAGGGCACTTGTTGTGATGAGCACTGGATGTTGTATGCAAGTGATGAATCACTAAACTCTACTCCTGAAGTGAAAATAAATAAATAAATAGCACTGCTCTCTTTTATGTCGTCACTCTTTGTTTTTCTTTTTTTTTTTCTTTTTGCTACTTCATCTTCTTTTCCTTCCTCTTAAATACTTCTGGTTTCCATAATTGCATTATATTTTTATTTTTTAATAATTTTTTTTATTTTAAAAGAGACTGAGATTTACAGAAAAGTCACAAAGATAGTTAAAGAGTTCCCCTACACCGCGCACCCCATTTCCCTTATTATTAATATCTGACAGTAGTATTCTATATTTGCCACAATTAATGAACCAATCAATGCATTGTTATTAACTAAATCCTTACTTCATTCAGATTTCCTAGTCTTTTTTCAGTCTGTCTCCTGTCCCAGACACTTGAGCTCTCTCGAACCCCTTTCAGTTCCCATGGCTCAGCAACCCCCTTTCTGTTGCCTTAAGCATAAACCTATCTTTCCATCCCAGACCTGAGCCCTGGTTGTCTAGTGGAGGGCCCTCATCCATGCTATTCCCTCTCCTAGAACACCTTGCTCACCACTTACCTTTTATGACATACCTGATCTGCAGTTTATCCATAAAGACCTAGCTCAGACAGCCATTGAGTGTATCTTTCTATAACATGCCATCTCTTTAAGAGGAGTAGAGTGTTTTGTTACTTCTACTTGCACAGAATTTTGTAATATTATTCATCACATTATCGTACAGTTACTTCTCTATGTGCCTGCGTCCACTGCAGGGTGGGTCTTTGTTGGGGCTGCCATAACAAAAATACCACAGTAGGGTGGTTTAAACAACAAACATTTCTCACAGTTCTAGAAGCTGAGAAGTCCGATCCAGGCATCCTCAGATTTGATGTCTGATGAGGGCACTCTCCCCGCTTTGTAGAAAGCCACCCTTTTACCGTGTCTTCACAAGGCAGAGGGGACAGGAGAGCTCTCTGGGATCTCTTTTATAAGGGCACAAATCCCCTTCATGAGGACTCCACCTTCCTGACCTAATGACCTTCCAAAGGTTCCACCTCCCAATACTATCCCATTGGGCATTAAGATTTAACAGATGAGTTTTAGGACACAGACATTCAGTCCGTGACATCGGGCAAGCCCTCCAAGTCACAAACCACATATCGTTCACATTGCACTGTGTATAATACATAGCAGAGCCTTGCTTGCTGCTTGTTGACTTAAATTTTTAATTTTCAGTAAAATGGAACCTTCCCTTACCTCACTTCAATTCTAAATATTTTACTAACACATTCGGGGTGCCTGGGTGGCGCAGTCGGTTAAGCGTCCGACTTCAGCCAGGTCACGATCTCGCGGTCCATGAGTTCGAGCCCCGCGTCAGGCTCTGGGCTGATGGCTCAGAGCCTGGAGCCTGTTTCCGATTCTGTGTCTCCCTCTCTGTCTGCCCCTCCCCCGTTCATGCTCTGTCTCTCTCTGTCCCAAAAAAAAATAAACGTTGAAAAAAAAAATTTAAATATTTTACTAACACAATGCTACCTAAGTCTCATATACTCTTAAAAAAGTAAACATCAATTATTTTTATAAGATATGCAAGCCACACTATTCTGGGTTTACCCCCTTGAACAATGTGCTCCCAGGACACTAGTGGATGCTGCTCCTGAGCCCAATCCCTGACCATGTACCTCACAGAGAGTTCGGGGCCCAAGCATGACAGCACGAGGCAAAGTTACGAAAAACAGTAGTGTTCATAATAGCTCTTATTGGAAAATAAGAAAAAAAACAAAGAAATGCCTTTCCCTTTGGGAGTTAATGAATAAACTTCTTAATAATGTCTGAAATATGTTTCCTTAGTTTCCAGAGGGGAAATAGCAATTTTATAAATCAGTTTAATTTCTCTAAGTTTCTAAAACACCAATACTATTTTATATGGGAAATCGACTATCCAAGTTGAAGCCTGTGGGTGTTGAGTAGGATAGGTAAAAAATTAATGTGCTAAATCCATTTGTAAAAATACCCGGTACTGAAAGACTGCTTTGCATAAGAAGATTTGCAACTAAGTTATTTGAAAAGTTGACATTTTCTATTAAAGAAATGAATTGGATGAATTGGATCATTCAGGGGAAAAAAATGTATAAAATACCTATAGCTATGGAGAGTTATTCTTTTTTTTTTTAACATTTATTTATTTTTGAGAGAGAGAGAGAGAGAGAGAGAGAGAGAGAGAGAGAGAGCATGAGCGGGGGAGGGGCAGAGAGAGAGAAGGAGACACAGAATCTGAAGCAGGCTGCAGGCTCTGAGCAAGCTGTCAGCACAGAGCCTGATGCGGGGCTTGAAGCCACAAACTGTGAGATCATGACCTGAGCCAAAGTCGGATGCTCAACCGACTGAGCCACCCAGGGGCCCCTGGAGAGTTATTTTGAAAGCATATAATACTTTATAACCAAGTTCGGTAATTGTACAATCAGCAAAATCTATGTGGTTATTGTTAACTTTGCTTTCCGAACAGACTTTTACAGCATTGTTATTAAATTAGCACCATTAAACACCCACAGTTCAACTCTCTTCAAGTGTGTGCCTTAGACTTCAAGTTCAGAAAATTTGTAAACATTCTCTGCTTTCTGGAAGACAACACGAATCAGAGATGTCGGTATAAAATTAAGCTTATCTGGATAATGTTGACAGTAGTCCGAGCTTTAACCTAAGTAAGAACAGCACCTATGCAGAAGGTAGTCTGTTCATTCTGCTAATGAACCTGTATTACAGTATTCTAAGGGAAAAAAAAAAGGCATAGAAAAAAATATCAACTCACTTTGAAGCAGGGCCATAAGCATCATGAGTGATATCATACATAACACTTAAAATAGGAATTTAAAAATGCTGTTAAAATCCTACTGATGTTGGGAACACAGAGTTAGACTGGTGAACAGCATATGGCGCCATGAATTATATCCTAGGGATTAAGAGTCATGATGGTGTATCTTAGCCAAGATGACAGAAATAGAAGTAGCCAAAATATTAGTGGAAATCAAACTCTTTATAAAACAATGATGGTCATTGCCAGGAGACTTAGAGTGAAAAGGCCCATCCCAATGACAAGGGCTACATTAGACGTGAAAGGAATTCCAAGCGACGAAAGCTGAGTAGCAATGAAATAAAACCACAGCACAGTCAGGAACAAAACAAGGGGGCCCTAGGCAATTACATTAAATAGTTTGCCTAATTTGCCACAAGGTTTGACCACCAACATATCCTCCCTAAAGGCCAAGGCTTTGTGCAGAATGAATCATTCTGAATTCTCACTCTACACCCAAAATGTCTTCTACCAGACTGTGGCGCAGCAGCCAGGCAAAGCAAACAAAAGATTAGCTATAGTTAGTAGCCTCAGTGACATTTTGCAGGGCACTTTTGAGAGGCTGAATCAGTGGGCTCCAGATGCAATTAGAGGCAATGTCTACGTCGTCGTTCACCACAAATACAGTGGCTTGTGTCTCCAGAAAGAGCAATGTATAAAGGAGAGCCAAAAATCCAATTCTCTGGTATAAAAAGGTAATTGGATATTTTGAGGAAAATTTTTTTCAGAGATACTAAAATAAACTGAAACATTTTCTGCTGTCTGTGGGATGTGTGACCATGGATAGTAGTTTCACATAGCAATATGAAACTATAAAATTAAAATTAGTCCAGAACTAAATTCAGGGGAGTTGTCCCACTTAGGGCTATTCCATGAATGTGTCAACCATACCTGAGGAATAGTTGTAACCATATATGAGAAAAAGTCCAGTGGGGCAGCAGGGGAGATTTTTTAAAAGTTACAAAATGGCTTTATAAACATCTCTGCACAGAAAGTAGCTGGGGTCTGGGAGTGGGTGCTTTTATTGCGGGGGGTGGGGGTTGTAGCCAGCTTCTCACAGCTGTAATAACAATTCTCTTCTCCTTTAGGCACACCAGAAAATGGAAATGACCAGTAAGTAGCCACATCTTTTTTTTCCAGAAGCTCTGACTCTATCATATCTGTATCTGTATATCTACATGAAACATTAATCTTCTACTCACACTTTTTTTGTCGTTTAGTTTTAAAACAAATTGTGCAAAAATCACTAGAAATAGACTTTGGCTATTTGTCAGAACTCTCTATCCAACAGAGAGATTCCAACAACTAAAAGGGAAGATTTGTTCTTAAACTTGGATAAAGTAGTAAAATGGGAAATCCAAACATGGAATGCAAAGAGAAAAGAATGCATAAAAATAGCCAGAAAGAAAAATCTCATAGAGATTTTTAAGATAGAGTTTTAAGATAGCTTTCCCAGTGAAAATTTCAGTATGTTCATCACAGTTAGGGAATAATCATGCTTATGCTTTGAGACAGCGTTGAGTGGCTTTATCCTAGCGGTCAATGGTTATTGTACTTTGACTTTATTAAAACAAAAAAGCAGTGCTTACCATCCAGGCAACTCTTACAGTCAAGGTTCTCCAAAGAGACAAATCGTTTTAATGTCAAAAACAAATTTTGTAGTTAAGATTTTTGTTGTTGACCTGAATTTGTAGGTTGCCTTTATGGAGCTGTTGACCTGAATTTGTAGGTTGCCTTTATGGAGTTGTGAACTTTAAAAATAACATCCCTAGATCACCTACCTTTCTTTATTAGAAACAAAGTCTCTTGAGATGTCCAAGTAAAGGAATCTGGGTTTAAAACTGTTTCAAATCTGAGAAAGGATTGAGTGGAGACTCTTGGTTAGAATAGACAGTTCAGCTGCTATAGTGCGGTACATAGGGCCTCATGAAAAGGGATATCCCCAGAACTCAACATTAGCCCAAAAGGTTTGGAAACATTCCTATGCCTTCCTTCAGGCACCAGAGACCTTTGTGATATGGACCTTGTGTCAAGTGTTTCACGTGATCTGTTTCTGTCTTATCTGATTATGATTGCTTAACGGTGTGACAGAGATTGATAGGCTTTATTTTAGAGGCAAAAAGTGCTATAAAAGTATACGTCTGTCTGTATGTAAAAAGACACAGGTTTTCCCATAGAAACACACACACACACACACACACACACACACACACATATATATGTGCTTTTGTGTCTTCTTCATTCTGTTTATATCATGTATACTTTCTTTCACAGAGACATACAATGCTAATTACTGCAGTGTTCACTTATGTTTTCTGTTCCAAATAGACCTCAATCCGATAAAGAGAGTGTGAAGCTTCTCACTGTTAAGACAATTTCTCATGAGTCTGGTAAGTATCCAGATTGTCGATTAGCTGAAAATGGTTATTTCAAATTTTTTTTAACATGTATTCATTTTTGAGAGACAGAGAGAGAAGAGCGTGAGTGGGGGACGGACAGAGAGAGGGAGGTACAGAATCCGAAGCAGGCTCCAGGCTCTGAGCTGTCAGCACAGAGCCCGACGCGGGGCTTGAACCCACGAACCGTGAGATCATGACCTGAGCCGGTCAGACGCTTAACCGACTAAGCCACTCAGGTGCCCCTGAAAATGGTTATTTCAAAATTGAACTTGGATTTTGTTCATGTGAAACACAATCAAAAAGCATAATTTATTTGGAAATAATTAGTAACTCCCCCAAAATACAAAATTCTCCTATTGGGGAAAGATGAATCCTAGATATATTATTTTTGGTAAGATTATTGGACTATGGTACTTTTAGAGGTTGCTTTTTATGATATGTATATGTGTTCTAAAGAAGGGGTGGGGACTTGAGGCATTTTCTATTCTGTAGCAGTAGCAGAAGGAACATTAAATGTACCACCCGGTTTTTTATTAATGCTGTTGTTTTATTTTTGCTAAGGGCTATCTATAGTCAGCTAGAACCAGGACTCATCAGTTAAAAATATAAATCCTATTTTGTATCATTTCATATAATTTTAATTGGGTTTCTCAATGAGGAGAAAACAATCTCCTGTTGGTAACATTTAAATTTCTTTTTTCCAATTTCCTAGGTTTTTTAATTAGATTTGAAATGTGTAAATTCTTCAAAATATAGATTGTGATTTATATTAATTATATTTGCATCAAGAGTAATGAAAAATGAAATGTCAGATAGCTTTTAAGAAATGAAGAATTACAGATTTTTTTCTTGTTTTGGGTAGACCCAATATTTAAAACATCAGTATTACAAAACAGCCATATGAATAATAGGGGCACCTGGGTGGCTCAGTTGGTTGAACATCCAACTCTTGATTTGGGCTCAGGTCATGATCCCAGGACCATGGGATCGAGCCCTGCATCAGGCTCCATGCAGAGCTTGGGATTCTTTCTTTCTTCCTCTGCCCCTCATATTCTCTCTCTCTCTCTCTCTCTCTCTCTCTCTCCCTCTAAAATACAAAATAAAAAAAATAAAAGATAATTATTCACTCAACAAAGCAATCCATGTGGATCTAATTTAAATATCAAGTTAAATGAGTACACTTACAATATGCAGTCCCCCCATTTCACCTGTACAAAATAGTTACAGAATACAGATGGTATGTAACATGAGAGCTTTAGAATGACCGGCTCCATTTTACATATGCAGCAAAAAACAATTTTGGCAAACAAAAAGCAGCCAATATTGTCCAATTCAAGAGCAAGATATCAAAGGCTGAATGTGGTCCCAACTTCAGGTAGGAAGTTCTAACTAGAACAAACTACACCAGGCAGACAGAAGACTTGAAAACTGAGGAAGGGTACCCAGAATCTGCAGACATGCCCAGACCCCTCATGTGAGTCATTTGCTCTTATGAGAGACCTTCTTCTTTCTTGCATCTAGGCTACTCTTCGATGTACACATTTCCTTTATTCCCACTGTGTCCTCTTGGAGGTAACCGTCTGAATGGGCAAAGGAATAAAATTCATTCATAGAATAATTGGAAACCACTTACAGTTTTCCCCTGGTTGTTCCCCCGCCTCAACTAAATTGCTATGCCTATTCTACCAGGTCAGGGAAGACCAGCCTACATGTGAACTAGTCTTAAATAAGGATCTTAAATGATGATCACACCATTTGCCAAGAAAAGTTCTCAGAACCTGCCTGTGTCTAGACAAGCATCACAATAATTTCATGCACTATCCTTAATCCCTTGGGGATTTAACAAAACACTCTGCAGCCTTGGGGCTCTCCGAGCTGTGGGTTAGCAGGCTAACGAGCATTTGGAAGAAGCCTCCATGTAGAGACCCTGTGGCTATCCTTGTGAGGAGAGGGCTGGGATCAGGACCACCTGCTTTAATGCCCCCCATTTCTATCAGGGAAATGACAACTGACACCAGAATTGAGGCTTGAGGATTGGAAAACTCCAGAGAAGCTTGTGTTTCTTGGTTGCAAATTTAGTACGTGATTCTTCTTTAAGGTCCAAGAAAACTCGACATAAACTGATATCTCCCACTCACATTGTCACAAGGGTAATTAATCAGTGAAATAGACTATGGTGAGGTAGTTAGGAAGACCCTTAATTCTCCAAGATTCCTTTTCATCGTAAGCAAATTTTTAGGTCACAGGTTTAAGGAGGAAGTATTACCATGGAAATAATAAAATCTATTCTCTGGTTCCTTTGTTTCTGCCAACCTTAATTTAAGAATCATACCTCTTTTAATGAAGTAACCTCTCAATGGTCAGCCCATCCTGATTTTCATGGGAAATATTTGGTGATAGGAAAAAACTGAAATTGTGCATTCAGAGTCTGTTTCAATAGCCTAGAATTAATAATCTAAAACACAATGATCTCCAAATGCTGTTTGTACTACCACAATTTCTTTTTTCAACGTTTATTTACTTTGGGGACGGAGAGAGACAGAGCATGAACGGGGGAGGGGCAGAGAGAGAGGGAGACACAGAATCGGAAACAGGCTCCAGGCTCCGAGCCATCAGCCCAGAGCCGACGCAGGGCTCGAACTCACGGACCGCGAGATCGTGACCTGGCTGAAGTCGGACGCTCAACCGACTGCGCCACCCAGGCGCCCCTGTACTACCACAATTTTTATTAAAGTCTGGCCCCTGAAACACTCATCAACAAATCTCTGTTCACTCTCTTTTAAATTCAAATATGTTTTTTAAATAAAACTATGCTCACAATACTCAACAGAAGTTACATTGTTATAACTATTTTTACCCAAATATCTTTTGCCCAACAGTAACACTTTTCCTCAAAGGTAACTAGAATAAAACCTCAAATGGTTAGGTTTGGTACAAATGCACACCTTTGGCCAAATTTTCCACTATCTCCTATATAAAAGTTTTAATAAATCTGAAAAATACAGAAAATAATTTGATAGAGCGAATATCTGACTACCCACCACTCAGAATTGATGACTGTTACGTTTCATGTTATTTGCTCTGTGGCCTAAGAAATATAGTGCTAATGTGCCTAAGTGGTAACAAAATGAAATTTGAGCTTCAATGGCCATAAGAACTCATTGGATTAGTCAGTACTTTAATTTATAAACTCTGGTATTATATCTCAGAATAAACTGTGCCATTTTAGAGGTCAATAAATCATGTTTCCAAGGAAACAGAGCTCTGCAGCAACCCATCTTCAGGGGAAATGCCAGTGAATACTAAAGTGTCTGGGTTTCCAGAAGCCTCCATGAGCCATAGTTATTGTTCTGGTCATTTTCTCCTACTAAGACAGTTCCTTGCTCCAAAGCCTCCTCTGATTAGGCCATGTTGTTTCTCCATCCACACCTCTTGCTTTCTTCAAATATGTGCTCTCTCAAGTAGGTTCTTCTGCTGAAAATGTAACCCATAAATGTTTGCAATTTGATTATTTAAATTAGGAGTTTTCTTCAATGTAAAAGAAAAAGTCTGCTAGAGTACAACAAGAATCTGCTTTCAGAAAGAAATGAGCACCAAATATAGCAGATCAGGCAACCCTTTATGAGAACATACAAGATCCCACTCAGCTTTAGTAAGAAATCTTGCCAAGTTAAACATTACCATGATTGACTGCAAAATATACATATGTGCCATAATGCATTTTAAATATGATTGCTACTTATATCACATCTCAGAAAGTTAATATACATTGCCTTTTTTTAATATTAAAGACTGCAAGGATTATGAAGAAAATTCCTTAAAGAATATATGACTTCCCAGAAGAAAGAAAGCATAGTATCTTTGAATTTCATTTTAAAGTACTACTTGAGGCATGCTTGGGTGGATCAGTCGGTTAAATGTCTGACTCTTGATTTCAGCTCAGGTCACGATCTCACAGTTCATGAGATCGAGCCCCACCTCAGGCTCTGCACTGACAGCACAGAGACTGCTTGTTCTGTTCTCTCTCTCTCTCTCTCAAAATAAATAAATAAAGGTAAAAAAATAAAGCACTACTTGATATTGAACCATGTGGAAGAAGAAAAAGCAGATCTTAACTCATAATTTTCCTCTGCTTAGAAAACTGCTAGGTTTGTATTATCTAAGATGAAGTTCAAACACTTTGGCATGTCTACAAGGCCTTTCGCGATGCACCAGACTTCCTCTTGCTTAGTTTGCGAACCACGTACTAACTCATATTCTCCAGGCACTATTCATCTCCCGTCCCTGTCTTCCTTGCTGAACTCAAGCTCTTTTGAAGGAGGAGATGGTGTCTTGCTCCCTTTTGTCAAGCCTTCTCGCCCCCACCCCCTGCCACTTCCCCATTACGGTAATGACACATTATGAGTATATTGTTAGTATACGAACACTAATTAGTATATTATGGTAATTACTCCTTAAATGTGCAGTCATTTTTTTGCTTATTTATTTTTACAAATGAAAGAAAGAAAGAAAGAATGAATGAATGAATGAAAGTGTGAAGATGAGGAAAAAGATGAACGGATTTAGAAAGGCATACATCGATCCAGCTTCTGTCTTCTCAGCCCTTCAATATCTGCCCATACCCTGCATTTCCATCAAGCCTTCCTTGATTGTCCTAGGTGTACATGGTCTTTTCCTCTTCCAAACTTGTTTTTTTTTTTTCATTTGGCAAATCAATATATATCATTGCCTTGAAATAGCTCTTCATGGCTTACACTTCCATTTTATTTATTTTTTATTAATTTTTGTTAATGTTTATTCATACTTGAGAGAGAGGAAGAGAGAGAGAGAGAGAGACGGTGAGCATGAGTGGGGGAGCAGCAGAGAGATATGGAGACAGGATCCGAAGCAGGCTCCAGGCTATGAGCTGTCAGCACAGACCCGGACACAGGGCTCGAACTCACAAGCTGTGAGCTCATGACCTGAGCCGAAGTCAGACACTTAACTGACGGAGCCACCCAAGAGCCCCTTAAACTTCCATTTTAATATTTGACCACATTTTGCATAATGGAGAATAGAGAAAACTAGAGAATAGAAAAGAATTAAAAAGTTCTCATGAAACGCAACACAATACAATCATTAATGGCTTGGTGTATCTCTTTCCAGCTGTTTCTTTTGTAGGTGCGTGTTTCATTTGCTTTTACCAAAGACATTATTATAACCTATTGGATTCATATTGTAACTGAATCTGTCTCGTATTTTCTATTCCCAGTTAGACAGAACTTGGAGGGAGATATTAAAAATTGGAATGATTTTCGGGGCACCTAGGTGGCTCAGTCAGGTGAGGGTCCGACTTTGCCTCAGGTCATGATCTCACGATTCGTGGGTTCGAGCCCCGCGTCGGGCTCTGTGCTGACAGCTCAGAGCCTGGAGCCTGCTTCGGATTCTGTGACTCCTTCTCTCTCTGCCCCTCCCCCACTCACACTTTCTCACTCTCTCTCTCTCTCTCTCTCTCTCTGTTGCTCAAAAATAAATGTAAAAAACAAATTAAAAGAAAGAATTGGAATGATTTTCATAAGCTTCGCCTGACATGACTGACAAACAGTAGGGGTTCAATACTTTTTTTTATTTTGTTCACTTCTCATTCCTGTACTTCATAGTCGCGGATTCCAGGAGGTGCTGTGCTTTTTGCAAAATAACAATAGCGAGCACAGAGTTGTGCTGGAAAGCGGCTAGGAGGGCTGTTGCTCTGTGCCCGGGATTTCTCGGAGCATGGCACCTAAGGGGTTCTTGAAAGGGAGTCCCGGGTTGTTCTCCTCGTTGGTCTCTGGCACCATTTATTACCACCATGATAGTGCCGGTGACAGGTGACATTAACGGAGTTTCCAGAAGACAGGTTTCTAAAAGACAGATAAAAGTTGGAGCAAAACAATGACATTTATTCTCAAAGCTGGAGACTTTGACCCATACCGCTTTTATATAGTGTGACTGATGTTGATACTTGAATCTACCTGAAAGATGCAGGTAGCGTGCAGTGTGTTGATCATGAATGAATTCAGGGGCATGTAAAAACACTTGGGATCCTCTGCTTCCCATTATCCTAGGTCAATATTTATATTTATATTTATATTTGTATTTATATTTATATTTGTATTCATATTTATATTTATATTTATATTGGGTGACGGAATAACACTGTTATTTTGACTAAAGCCCCCTCTACTGCTCTGTATATCACCAAAGGGTTTATGTTGGCTTCCAAATTCCTTTTCACAAAACTCTTACCCAACTCTTTAAACAGAGGACCCTAGAATGTCTTCCTGATAAAATGGCAGTTTAAATATATAATACAGTTTTGCTTAGGCTCAAGGAACAAGCAAAAAACTATAACTCATTCCCGAGAGTGCCTCTCTTATTATCACTTCCCGACTCACAACCCCTGCTCCCAGAGAATTAGTTGAGCATTGCTCCTTTAGGGTGGAAACAGATGATGGCGGAACAAAGCTCGTAAATCTTGGCGAACAATTTCCAGGCGATACCAAGAGGCAGATTGTGGCTCTAATGACATTCTTGCCGGGGAATTGGACTTTCCTTGAAAAATAAAAAACAAGCCAAGAAACCTTATTTTCATCCCTATTCACTCTCTGAGCTTAGAAATCAAAACATATCTTTTGTTTGTAGGTGAGCACTCTGCACAAGGAAAAACCAAGAACTGACAGCTTGACGAATCCTCTCCACACCTGGGCAATAAATATGTAAGTTTTTTTTTAATTTCATTCAGTGAGATGCTCATTAATATCTGCTTTGTTAGAGTGCTGTAGCTTAGATTATCTCGAAAGACTTTTACAAGCTGAAAAGTTAATGGTTTGTGTCAGGGAGACCATCATTATCTATTTGTCTAAAAACAAACTCTAAGAAGATTTGCCAGAGAACTGCATATATTGGGGGCTATAGAAGATTCTTCCAGTTGCCTTGCCTGCTACAATTCACTCTGCCTATTGGCAATGTTTTCACGTAAATGCACTTTGCCTTTACCTCGGCCAGAATATGCACACTAACAGTGGCAGTTAGACAGGGTTCTATTGTTAACAGAGACTCAAAGGACCCAGAATGGCAATGCTTACAAATTTTCAGTTTATTGCAAGAATAAGATGTGATACAGCAGCTGCGCTAAGGTAAGGAGATGCATCCCAGCCAAAGACTGGCAGAGGGCAAGGGGTTCAGAGGAGGGAGGTAGGAGGTCCATTTGTCCTCCCTCTGTAAAGACTGCACCGGGACATCCCTTCCCTGTGGGTGCAGGAACCATGGATGTGCATGCAAAGCACCTCAAGCAAGGTGATCCAAAAAGGTAGTCTCAGCTGGGGTTTCTGGTATGCAGCGGGTCACGAAGGCATAGTGTTGCTAAATAACTAGCTGAGACACAGAGCCCACCAGTGTCTCTATGAGAACAGATGCAAATGAGCAATCTCATTGCAGCAATTGTGAATCAATAAATAATTGAAACCTCTCAAAACTATGGTTACGAGCAACACTGTTACTCTGTATGTTCTGTGCTTTGACCGGGAGTCCGTGCAATGCACATACATTTCCTCTTTCAGTAAAACAGCTCAGGCCAGTTTCTTGCCTGCTAGAATCAACCCTCTTGGTTTAGCATGAGATTGTCTTTTGCTTTCCTAGAATTGAGTAAGAAGATTTTCTTCCTATTTTAGTTTAGTTTTCACAAGATGCATTGATTAAGTGCCCTCACAATTAGCGTTTGATGCTTTTTAGAACCTGCAGAAGAATTTACCCTTTGTCAACTAACAGTAAAAAAGCAAAAGAACAAATACACATATGCCCAGAATTGACCTGACCACGATGGTAGGCACTCTGGGTGGTGTCCAGAGGAAGGGATGTTATTTTCGTGTCCACTACCTATGTCTACTACCCAGCTAGTAATACAGCGCCGTCACGGACACTCAGAGAGCACTTGTAGAATAAATGATGCTTGCCACGTTTCTCCAGCCAGTAGCAGGAGATGGAGACAGAGGACTGCCATCCAGATGTGAACACCAGTGTCAGATTCTATCCCTTTCTAGCCAGCAAGGGTGGATTAGAAAGAGAAGAATCTGAGATTCTGCCTATCCTTTCGCGATGGACATTTTTAGATGCAAAGTTGGAGAAGCTGAGAAATTTAAGAAGTTTGTGGAGGCAGGTGGTCCAAACCTACCTAGTACATGGAAAACTTGCTCTCATGCCTGCTAGGGTTCCTTTGCAACCTTGTGGCTAGTCAAAAGATGCTTTCTAAATTATCAAAATGCTCAACTCTTAGTGACCAACTGTCCAATTTGGCAGAAGACAAAGTCTTCTTTTCAGTTGGAAAGAAAAGGTATACAGAGGTGAGGGATAGTGGTGACCCAAACAAGCTCAACAAAATAAACTTTTGTCCAGTTCCGATTCCTTTCCATTTTTTATACTTTAAAAAATATTCCTAGCCTTTAATTTCATGTCTTTAAGTTCTCAGAAATAAGTAGCTTTTGTCTCTCGTCTCTGTAATTTTGGAATTACATAACCATGTTCTGACGAGTAAAGATCAGAACAGGAAGAAACAAGTTTGACACATCAATTCGACTATTTGTCTAACTTTTTTTCAGTCTATTTCTCTTGGCAATCATTGTACTTTGAACGCAGTAACCAGTGAGCAATGACTTTCTAGATTATCAATTAGACATCAGATATCAACTCAAGAGAGTCAGAATAAATAGGAATGTAGTCATCAGAACCAGAAGCTTTGGGAAAAGAAGTGGGGAATTTTGGAACTGTGGGGAGTAGCAAAGTTCACAATGTTAAAATCTTTCGTCTCAAAATCAAATTCTGGGTAAACTTAATGTTTGCCGCTCCGTATATCAGTCCTCTGTTTTGTGCAGAGCATTATATTTAATGTGATTTGGCAGGGCAGAGAAGAATTCCAAAATACTTATAACTTATGATTCTTGCCCTCTCCAAACTTTGCCTAGTGGTAACATTAAATCACATACAAGAAATAAGATACTAATTAGAGAAAAAAAATTAAAAGCTGTGTGAGCATGATTGACACTGATTCATCAATTCAAAGAGATTTTAAAATCTCGGAGATTTTATACCAACAAGAGGAAAATTGGTAAGGGCTTCAGTAAAATATTATCCTTTCACTGCAGATGGATTGCTCCATTTAGGGATCATAACTTTTTAAGAATAAGAAAAGGATCACATCAGCTGAAACTTTCCCTATATAAATCACTTTGGTCCCATCTATTACCTGGTACCACCTTCAAAATAGCTATTAATGTGGAAATAATTTCTGTTAAGTTTTGAAGGCCACCAGAATCAAAGATTAGAAACATATTAATGGTATGCAATTCTAGATATATGTGGGCTCATTTATAATGTAAATGTGCTCTGTTATCTTCTTCTGAGATTAATTCTCTTACGACAGGGAGTGGTAAGGATGACATGGCTAGAGGAATGGGTTTGCTGTCGCAGAGAACTTCTGCTAAGCCCAAAATTTCTATGCAAAAACGTGGAACAGGCAAAGTACATTCTTTTTTTATTGATGCCAACAAATGGTCTGAGCAAATTGGTCAATAATGAGCATGGAGGTGGGGACATTAGCTAATAATGTCTTTATGGGGAAATATGTGTAAAAAGAACGATGCAAAAAGAGAGAGTAAAAGAATTTATGTATGTTTTATTAAGTAACTGATTAAAATTTTTTAAAACACAAAACAGTATAAGGAAAGTCAATGGAAAAGATAGGAATTCTACCACATCATGACTTAAAACTTCCAAGCACAAAAAAAATATATCATAAAGAAAATTATGAAACAAAAAACAAATTGGGAAAATGTTTGTCAAAAACATGAGACCAAATAATTAACTTCTTAAATATACCAAAGGCATTATACAGATTAGGAAATAGAAAAATGAGCAAAGGCTAGGAACAGGCAATTCATAGAGGAAGGAATAGAAATGATAATATAAAATTACAGAAGAGTTACTATAAAATCTTAAAAAATGTGAATTAAGACCAAAAAAATTATAACCTTCAATTTAATTAAACCTTTTTTTTCTAATTTTTAAAAATCATACTGGTGAAGCAAATAATATCATATGCTGCATTTGAAAATCTAAATTCGAGGGGTGCCTGGGTGGCGCAGTCGGTTAAGTGTCCGACTTCAGCCAGGTCACGATCTCGCGGTCCGTGAGTTCGAGCCCCGCGTCAGGCTCTGGGCTGATGGCTCAGAGCCTGGAGCCTGTTTCCGATTCTGTGTCTCCCTCTCTCTCTGCCCCTCCCCCGTTCATGCTCTGTCTCTCTCTGTCCCAAAAATAAATAAACGTTGGAAAAAAAAAATTAATGAAAATCTAAATTCGATTAATCTTTCTGAAGAAGAGTTTGGTAATATTTTTATTAAAGGACTTAAAAGATTCACATTGGTCACCCAGTAACTTCACTTTTAGGAAATTTTCATAAGGATATGATTTGAAATGTGACTAAAGATTAATATATAAAGAATAGTAGCAAACATTTAGAAACAGTTTAAACGTCTAATGGTATGGAAATTTCAAGTAAATTATGCTTCCTGCAATCAATGACATTATATAACTTAAGAAAAGTAATTCTCAAGATGATTTTTTAATTACATGCAAACACATCCAAGATATAGGTTAAGTGGGGGAGGGAACAAATTTAAAACTGAACAGAAAGCATTTGATTGTTCCACCACCAATTCTGTGCTAGAGGAAGAAGGCAGGCAGCTCCTGCTACATGCATGCTCCCTCACCAGCAGGCTCCCCCTCCATTCTGTTCCAAGCCTCCTGACAGTTTAAGAACTGGTGGGAGTTTCAGATCAAGAACCAAAAGTCTGGAAAGACCAGTGACTTTAGGAGAGTCTCATCCCACAGACCCTCAGCATTATGGAATGTTACTTATTTTCATTTTTCTCCCAGATACAATTCATCCTTTCTGTCATTTCTCAATGGTACCGTGAACATCTAAAAGCACCTTTGTGAACTTCCAGAAGAGCTTAGCATGTTTTTCAATTATTTTTCTTGCATTTTAAGATGAAATAGCTGGGACTAAAAAGAAAAGATCATGAAAGAGATTTATTTTCTGATCCTAGGTATGGCCCTGAACAAACTCCTTAATAATGCTTTGCACTGGGCTCCACATCTATAAAACCAGGATAGAAAGATCTTTTCTTTTAAGCCTATTTTGCTTCTTTGTTTATAAAGTATTGTCAGCGTTGGTAAAGAATCTATCATGATACTTTATTACAAAAGTGATCATTCTATTCTTTATAAGTATCATAAATTTATAAAATTTTAGGGTTGTGAGACATGAAGGACCTTAAAGTCTTGCATTATCATTATTGAAGACAACACACTAAATTTAGAGAGATTATAATGTTGGAAAGGAAGCAAATACTGATATTGGTGTAGACATTCAAATTGAAACTGCCAACTAATGGAAAAAATCATAACGAAGCAAAACCCATTTCTCGAGAAAGATTTTCAATGTGGAATATACTCTGACCAAAACTCCAGTTTGTTTTCATATTGCTTGCTGATTCTTGAAAAAAAATATGGTATTAATCGTGAGCATTATCTTACTCACGTGAATCCAGGTGTTTACCTAGATGGTCTGTGCTGCAAACTTTTGACTTTACCTGGGGACTCACCTACAGAGGAGTATGGGTCA